TTTTGAGGTCTGGTATCTCAATGGATAATTTGAGTGGTACATTCTTCATACAAGTACAGGGGTCCTTTAGCTGTTCCGACTGTAGTTTGCACCCTTTGATGCCCGATTGGCCTTTTGCCTTCAAAAAGAAAGTTTGCTAAAGTCCTTTACTCATGAACTCATATACAAGTAGCCTATGCTCTCCTTCATTGCAGAATCCCAAAAGTTTCACCAGATTCCTATGGTGTGTTTGACCAATTGCACTCACTTCTGCTTTAAATTCCTTCTCACTTTCATCCACCATTTTTAGTTTTTTAACAGCAACAAAGTTCTTTTGAAGGTTTGGCATAACACTTTTGTAAACAATAGAAAATGCACCACGACCCAATTTTTCTGAGGATCAATTCGTGCCTTCTAGTAACTCTTCATATGTAAAAATCCTAAGATGAATTTGACCCAAATCGACTCGTTTTGGGCACCTTTTGATTAGTACAAAACCAATATAAAAACCCACAACTACCACCACTAAGAGCAAGATCAAGACCACTGAACTGCCTAAAAGTATCGAGCCTATAATAAATAACTTTGATTTACCATTCTTCGGATTAATATCTCCACGAACCAGAGCAGAGGAATTATCTTTTCCTATTTTGCCTAGAGCTTTCCCTGGGAATGATGAATCAAACCTTCCATTAAAGAGAGGTAGGTTCTTCTTGGAACATGCCCCATCATTGAAAGAAGCAGCCGCACAAAGAAATTTTTTTTAATCCTAAATATAAATTACCTGTAGATTATTTACTAATCAGTTTTCAACTTTATTCATTTTTAATTGTACTTGAAAAGAGAGAAAAATGGGGGAAAAAAAGTAATGAGAATGATTTGTAAATGTACAAGGAGAAAACTTTCATAAAGATAAATTTGAAAATTTTTATCAATTTGTTGCATTCTTTAACATGTAAGAATGAGTTACTAGTGACTTATAGTAAGGATCAAAGTAATATGTGTGTATATCTTGCTCCCTCTTACACGTGTTGTGAGAACCTACTAATAATTTTACATAAATTAAGGAAGTTAGTTAAAATTAATTTTTACCTCTTGTCCAAAATATAACAGCTAATTTGTAATGTAACTTATATTAAAAACTAGCTTTTATATTTAGGACTAAAAATAGTATTTCTTATTTGAATTCGTTTACAACCACTCATCTTGAAGATCATCCAATTCGGACTTGGAAGAAGATTTTGATTCTAAGTAGTTTTCAAAGGGATCATTTATTTGCTTGTTCTTCACAAACTACATTAGGTGTGAATGAGTAATATAACATTTAAATATAAATTGGGAAGCAGGACAACCACCAATAGTCTTGGAGCTAATGGACAAAATATAAATTTTCTAAAATACAAATTCCAAATACGAGATTAAATTTTGCTTATATATTTGATCCTTCAAATTAGGCTGTTCAAAAGTATGTTGGTAGCTTGATATAATTAGGGAGACAGATATGATCACATAAATAAGTAAAAGACAAAATAGTCTCACAAAATGGCTTAATTCTTGTGAAGTTCTTCAGAAATTTCTGAAATTAACTTTTATTTGTGTGAAAAAATCCATCTATCGCAAATCACCACAACTCCAGCTGCCACTACTAGTAATATGGAATAACAATTTTGATTATATGTAGCCACAACAAAATCTTAAAATAAACTGGTACAATAAAATGAACTTAGATTCTTATAAGATACACTAAAAAATACTATTGATCCTAAATGTAAGATCTAGTTTATAATGTAACTACAAAATAGATCTCACATTTAGAATCGGGGTAGTATAGAATATTTATTTGTTGGAAGGCTTATCATTAACTTGTAAAGGATGGCAGGTCAGGAGGATTTGACACATCCATGAATCCTTCAAGCATTTGGACAACTTGCTTCATGGTGGGTCTTGTTAATGGATTCTCTTGGATAAACCATTTGTCGATCTTCACATACTTTTCTACCCTCTTCATGTCAATTTGAGCTCCCTCATCATCTTCCACTAATATGTCCAATCTCCTATAGTGAAAGCAATCATATACCCAATATCTGTTTTAGCTCCAAGGGGGTTGATAATGTGCCGGTGATTGATCTTGTGCTGCAGAGTGAGCTAGTAAAGTGGAGGACATATGGTAGGAATTCAATGGTGCAGTTGAGTCGTAAATTGATGTGTTTGGGGTTTGTCGATGGAGGATTGAACCCAGAATATCCCATTGTGATGGGAGGATACCAATTGGAAGATGTCATTATGCTGTTTGATTTGGATATTTCCATGGTGGGATTTAGGTCGTCTCTATTGTTAAAGCATTCTAGTTGTTCTCACTTCAAATCTGGTTTCATGTCTACAGAGTCAATTTGAGTATCACTTACACTTTACTTTAGTTCGTCTTTGTAGATAATGAAGCTTTCTGCTAAATTTTGTTACCCTTTGTATATGAGGTCGAGAACTGCTTATTTGCATGGCGAGTATGTGTAAAGAACAACAATTATGAGGTTCATCAAAGGGTTAAATCCCTTCTTTTTGCTTTCCTTATATTGACCAGAGAATTGATTTATGGGTTCGTTTGTATCAGTGATTAGAAAAATGTCTTATTAAAAAAGTAGCTTATAGAGAAACGAAGATGGGTAAAAGCTAAATTGGATGAGCTGAATTATGTTTGGATTGGAATTTAGAGAAGTTAGTTTGCAAAAGTGAGATTGGTAAAAGGTTGTTTGGATTATGGTTGAGTAAAAGTAAGTTTGGTTATAAAATAACCAAAATAGGTTTGAGTTTTAATAAATAATGAAACATGATTTGAAAAAATGATTTCACATAATACAATGAAATTAAAATAATTTAATATGAAGAAGTCAAATTTAATGAGTGAATTAAATTTTAAAACTTAAAAAAATCATAAAAAATATTTTAAATATAAAGTGAAACATGATAAAAAAAATTAATTGAAATAACACAATAAATTTAATTTAATTTAATATAAAAAGTAAATTTTAATAAGCAAATTAAAATTGAAAATACAAGAAAAATAAAAAAAATTACTGCCAATGGTTGTAAATTATGGAAGATATTTAAAAAGGAAGAACGTATAAGCTCTTAAAGTGATCCAATAAGCCAGAAAATAGAGCTTAAGCCAGAACGTACATTTCCCAGCTTAAAATACATAAGCTCCTTTTTTATTTAAGCCCAGCCAAATACCAAACAATTTTCCAATCGAGCTTATAAGTGAAATAAGCTACTTTTGAGCCCACAAAAGCCCTGGCAAACAGACCCTTATATGATGTCAAAAACTGAGACTACATTATGCAGTTACAAAATCAGTTAACAGATTTGGATTTCTGTTTGTTTGATCATTGCTTCATGCAAGCTTCTCTGAAGAATCTGTCTCATCAACCTTTAGTTTTACTAAAGCCAAATATGTCCAAGGAAAAATGACTTTAGTATCCCCTGATTGCTGGCCTCATGGAATGCAAGATTTTAACTTTTCTAAGGAGGCATGTTCTTTGCATCTTCCATTTCTATCAGAGATCTTATTGAAGATTTAATTGTAAAAGCGTCTGAGATCTCAGAAAAGTCCGGTACATTTGTGAAATATTTCTGTAACAAGGTTTGAGTTCAATTCAAGACAAGTAAAAACTGATACGCCAGTTCAGTTCACTTGGCTCCGTTTGTTGAAACAAATGACTTTTGTTTTGTTTGGTCACAGGGACAACAATGCAAGCTTTGGAGACCAATTAGATGAACATAATCACTAGAAAACATGAATTTATTAAGAAGGCTTTGGACATGGAAATTGCATGGTCGATCAGGGACATTTGGTAAAAACATGAGTCCTTCAAGAAACAAATGAAGTTCCCTATCTTGCAAGCAATTGCATGCGCAATAAATCTTCAGCGCCATCTTTCTCGTTTTCAGCATTCATGTCAAAGTTCCTTCTTCAACAAATGAGTTTCAGTAACAAAACTCTTAAGAGATGTGAACATTCACTTCCACGGTACTGGGCGTATTTTTGAACTATTCATATGCAATGTATACTTTAGTTCCCGTTATAGCTATTGTACGTAGTTAAAGGGAGTAAGAGTCATCAACATGAGATTTTGAATCTCGATGTCACAGCCTATAATTTGAATGCTGCATTTTTCATGCAAGAGTCCAACTTTAAACATGAAAAGGAAGCTCTCAAGTCTCATATCTCGTTCTATGTTCAAGATAAAATGAATAGAACCTACCTGCCCATGCCGTGTGGCTTGAATGTTAGCTCTCGCTTCTCCACATCCATGTCTTGCATCTTGTACTAGACTCTCAATGATTCTCTACTCTCAATCCGTTCCCTCAAAGCTAAGTTTCAGCCATCTCATTACACTCCATTATTAGTCTAGCCTTTAGGTTTGAAGTAATCATTTTATAAAATTTGCTTCTCTGTTTTTTCCCGTGATCAAGGCCTTGAGTGTCTGTGGGCTTTTGGTTTATTGGGATAGAGATGTGTGATGAATAGTGGGTGTCTGTGTATGGACTATGGTTTCTGCTGTGATTAAGCTTGTTCATCTCATATGTGCCACTAAATCCATTTTAATGGGGTGTGCAACTAGCATATGAGTGGAGGCGTAACACCTTATCAATAAAACACGTAAACTTAGACAATCTGTAATATAAAGAAAGTTCTAACGCAATGGGCATCCCTAGAACAATTTTAAGCATATCATTGGGCTTAAAGCCTACGTTAACAAACATTACACAAACACATCATGTTATGAGGCCTATATTAAGAAAAGTGAGATTTATAAGTTCAAGAGGTTTTACCACCCAATAATCTTGTCTTTTGAGATGAACTCTCCCTATTGCCTTGTGTTCGTAATATTGGTCCTTTCATTAAGAGGTTGATTAAACAAGAGTCATGTCTCTTCATTTAAGCAACAAAACACAATAAATCAAGTCATTTAAGAAACATGACAATATTTTAGTTTTTCTTCTCTTTTTTTTTTTGGAAAAAAAAGTTCACACTCTCATAATTATTCTCATCTTCCTCATAACAAAGAGGGCAATGCATAGTCACTCACATACCCAAGTTTATCAAGCACCAAGAGCATAAATCATTGATGAACTTGGACTCCTAAAAGATACATAGAGAAAGTAAATGATATTTATTTGCTGGAAGGCCTAACATTCACTTGCAAAGGATGCTAGATTAGGAGGATTTGGCACATCCATGAATCCTTCAAGCATTTGTACAACTTGCTTCATCGAGGGTCTTGCTGATGGATCCTCTTGAACGCACCAGATACCGATTTTCACATACTCTTCAACACTCCTGATGTCAATTTGAGCTTCCTTATCTTCTTCCACTAATAGGTCCAATCTCCTGTGGTGAAAGCAATCATATGCCCAATCTATTAGCACCATCTTATTCTCATCTTCAACATTCACATCAAAGCTCTTTCTGCAACAAATGAGTTCTACTAATAGAACTCCAAAGCTATAAACATCCACCTTCATGGTAATCGGCTTGTTTTTGAACCACTCAGCCGCAACATACCCTTTAGTTCCCCTAATTGCCGTTGTAGTTACAGTCTGGTCAATCTTTAAAAGCTTTGCCAAACCGAGATCTGAAATTTTAGCCGTGTAAGAGTCATCAAGCAATACATTTTGAGGTTTGATATCACAATGTATAATCTGAGATTTGCACTCTTCATGCAAGTACAAGAGTCCTTTAGCTGTTCCTATTGCAATTTGCACCCTTTGATACCAGCTTGGCCTTTTGCCTTCAAAAAGAAAACTTGCCAAAGTTCCCTTACTCATGAATTCATAGACAAGCAGCCTGTGCTCACCTTCATTGCAAAATCCCAAAAGTTGCATCAGATTCCTATGATGTGTTTGACCAATTGCGCTGACTTCTGCTTCAAATTCCTTCTCACTTTCATTCACCATTTTGAGTTTTTTAACAGCAACAAGGTTTCCTGGAATGTCTGGCAAAACACCTTTGTAAACAGTAGAAAATGCACCACGGCCCAATTCTTCTGTGAACCCATTTGTTCCTTCCATTAACTCTTCGTAAGTGAAACTTCTAAGAGTCATGTTTGACACAAATCGACTTGTTTTGGGAACCTTTTGATTAGTACAGCAAAACCAATATAAAACCCCACAAACTGCCACCACCAGGAGCAAGATCAAGAATACTGAACTGCCTAAAAGTATCAAGCCAATAACAAATAACTTTGATTTGCCATTCTTTGGATTAATATCTCCACGAACCAGAGTAGAGGAATTATCTTTTCTTATTTTGACTAGAGATTTCCCTGGGAATGATGAATCAAACCTTCCATTAAAGAGAGGTAGGTTCTTCTTGGAACATGCCCCATCGTTGAAAGAAGCAGCCACACAAAGGCAATCCTCTAAACAAGCTTGTCTACACCAATCTTCACTTACTGGTTTGAAGTATTCGTAGTCACAATTTGACCAATCGATATGAGGCATCTCAATGAAATCAAAAAGGTGTGCTTCAGAAGAAGTTTCATCACAACTTTGTAGAACAAAGTTTTGTTTGCATCCTTTCATCACATCATTTGGATCAATAATGCTATAACCAATTGGACAATGACAACTTTTATTCGTACCATTAAAGTTGCAGTAGCTGTTGAATCCACAAGCTCCACCTCCTATTCGTCCATTAATTCCGTTACAAATATTTGCAGGCATCACAGATAGAATTGACCAGGCCATAGGCAAATTTCTTGTACTGGAGTTACTACCCTTGGGATAGAAATAGTGTCAAAAGACTCCATCATATTCAAGAACAGCTCTCTAGTAAAGATTTTGTGCAGGGATGTCCTCCAGAGCTGATAGGCTTCGGATTATACTTTGGTTACTTCTTTGAACGAATAGAAAACCAGATTGGTTAAAGACCACTGAGATGTCTCTGCCAAAAACTCGGGTACTCCAATAAGCAGAATTTACAGAATCAGTTGGGAAATCAGTTGCGTAAAGCACAAAATCCCCATCATATTGTAGTGCAAACAGAAATCTCCCCTTTGAATGATTATTTGGCAATAAGTGTGAAACAAGTTGAGCAGGTTGATGCAAAACCTGTCCTGGTAAAATTGTGTCGGTGGGATGGTCAAAGCTTTGCCACAAATTTTCAGATGTTTCAGTAAACAACGCAAAGTTACCAGTATCAAGCATAGCAGCATAAGAAACTTCAACTCTAGTGCTAACACTCCAAATTTCCTTAGTAATGGGATCAATGAGCTGGAAAGAACCATCTGAAGTGAGCTCAACTCTGGAACCCTTTGGAGCAAGATTTTGTCCATTGGCTGACCAGACAATAGTTTTTTCTGGTATTTTGTTGAACCAGATGGCTAGTAGGAACCCATCTTTCTCAATTTTCCGGAAGCCAAATGCAAAATCACCAGATGGTGAAGACCAGAAGGAGCCATTTTCAACTGCAGTCAGTGAACTGCCCAAGGATATGTTCTTGGAAGCTTGAGAGACTACAGAATGCCAAAGCAAAGCAAGTAAGAGAGATAGCAAAATTGGGTATGGCTTCTTGAAAGCCATTTGATGAAACTTGAGTAAGTAGTGTTTCTTCTTAATATAGGCACCAGTCAGCTTTGATGCAGAGTGAAGCAGATAAATAAGGCCATGGAGAAGAACCTTCCAGGGAAAAATCCAAGCGAAGAAAAGTTTGTATTTTCTTACAACCGCATATTAATTATCAAAATCGTTTTCACACTTGGGAGGAGAAAAATCTTATCGTTCGATAACTCCACTTGTTCATGCTTCAGTAGTTTTTCAAGCACTACTGTTGAAAAGGAGGCCAGCTAAGCTCATCCAACTGTCTTTAAAGATCTTAAACGTTTGTTTGTTAAGTAAATTGTACAGGATATCCATAGCTTCCATTCAAATGGTCGCTATAATTTGGCACAGATTTGCCACGAAAGTTACTGACGGAATCAATTCCGTCGGTAAATTTTTTTCCGACGGAATTAGCCACAAAAAATATTCCGTCGGTAATTTCCGTGGCAAATTTCGTGAGAAATTCCGTCGCAAATATTCCGATGGAATTTGCCACGGATTTGCCACGGAAATTACCGACGAAATATTTTCCGTGGCTAATTCCGTCTGAAATTTTAGTTCCCTCAAGATCCTATGTAATTAAAAATTTTAGGCCGACATGGTAAAAATCATAAAGGATCATGTAGAGTTTAGACTTTTGATCCTCTAAGCACCATATATTTATTGTTATGATAAAATATGAACCATTTAAAATCTGATTTAAAAAATTTAAATTTAAAATTTTTAGTCTGTGGTTGGTAATTTTTTTAAAGAGGTAACAATTATAGAATTTTTTACTTTAAATTTTATATCTATGAAAATAAAAAAAATTCAAAACATAAAGAAAAATAATAAACTATTGAAAATTGATCTAAATGATCTAAATTAAGATCAGCATTCCATACTCAACTATTTAATGACCACACAATATAATGTGCTCCATCCCAACTGAATGCAAAAACTTTCATATGAAGACTTCTTTAAGTATGAAGTTACAAGGTCAAACCCTCCTATCAGTGCATAAGCTTTGGGGAGGGAAAAAGAAAGAAAAGAAAAGAAAAACCCAACAAGAACATGACGGAAGAAGAAAGCAAAAGGAGCTCAAAACAGAACGAAAGAAAACTTGTCCAGCGACAAATAATTGCGATGAGAGCTTCCTTTTAAGAAAAGGACCAACATCATATTGAGAGCTTGCAAATCAAACTAAATTCTATAAAAGGACTGAAAATGTGTGGAGCACGAAATGAAAATTTGAAAAAAAAAAATTCAAGTTGAAAGACATCTTTTTTTATTTTGAGAAAAGATGCCTTATGAGAAATTACTCCAAAGTTCTTGAAGAAAACTTGTTCTTTTTTTTTTTTTAATAAATGTTGTTGACACATTTATGGACTTAAGAGTTTAGACTTTAGACCAACCGGGGATACAAACTGCAGCATTGTCCTTTAAATTAAGGCCACTGTGGTAAAAACCATAAAAGATAATATAGCTGGGGCTTGTAATCCAATTATGATAAGGTTTTATAGGTGAGATTTTTTTTTTGGACTCAAGGTTTTTCATGTGAGATTGCACAATGAGTTTTTCAAAAATCTTTCATTTTTCAAATTGCGTTGAAAAGTAATTAATCTGCATGCTGCAGTCTACGAACCATTTATTTCTTGGACAAATTGTCATGGAACATTTCAAATGATAGCTTAATTGGATGAACTTCTTCTTCTTCTTTTTTTCTATTAGAGGTAATTATATTTCAAGTACTCTTCGGCACTAAATGGGGAGAGGAATGACTCCACTAACCCCTCTCTCCATTTCCTCTCTGCTTAATGTTTTCATCATTAGATCAAATTTCAATGGTTAAGGTTTATTTTATAAAGATATTATTAAAATATTAAGTATTAAAGAATAAAAAAAAATAAATAAATTTATACTACTAAGTGTTAAATTTGATATATAAGTAGTTTAATATGATAAATTTTTATTATATTTAATATTATAATAATATTTTTACTCAATTTTAAATCTCAATCATTAGAAGTTAATCTAATTATGAAGAAATTAAGTGGAGAGAGAAGTTAGTGGAAACATTCTTCTCCCCAATAAATATGGGTACCTCTTTTAGTAGAGATTCAAACATTGAATTACTGCTTTGTGGGAACTAACTCCTTCCGCTAGATGCAACGTACCATTTGTAACTTATAATTTTTTAAAAAAGATGTAATTAATGCATTGAGCATCTTTTTTTATATTTAATTCATTTAAGTACTATATTTGACACTTGATAGGCTAAATGCATGATTAAAACATCATTTCTGTCAGAAGTTACAATTTTAGTCAGGAGTGAAAAGGAGAACAGAAATACTAAATTTGTATTTTATATTGTGAGAAGCATGTTGCGTATTAACTATTTTTGCATCAGTCACTTTATTTTAATTGGGTTTAGGACATTCTAGTCCTTAAACTATTCTTCTATGAACACCAGTTGTCCCAAACTAATGTTGATCCTTTTTACATATTCATTAATTATTTGGACCATTAGGTATTGTTTGGTATGATGGAGTGAATTTCAAAGGAGGAAAGTGGGATTGAGATTGGTAGTGGAATTGCGATTTAAAATTACGTTGAAGCTCCTTACCTTATTTTTGTCTAGAGAAGAACATGAGTTTCAATTCCCAAAACCATTTTTAGTTATTGTAAGATTTTCCAGTCATTATAGAGTAATTCTTTCAATTAAATTTATATTTTCTTCTACAGTCAAATACTCTTACCTAAGAACATCTCCAAAAGTGGGGAACACGTTGAGGAAAAAAATCAACTCGCTGTCGGAAATTAATTTAGCGACCATTCATTTGTTAGCCAAATAGCACAAGATCCGAAGACTTTGATTTTTCAAAAGGTGCAATACATTATGACTTTATAAGGATCACTTTTTTGAGAAAAATCTGATACAAATATATATGCGCTATAATTGGTAAATGAGCTTGAAGATAATTAAAACCTGTATACAGAAAATATAATTAATTGAATACATTAGTTGATGGAAGTTACCTTTGAATTTTTTTAAGTAAGAAATCAAATAGTTGATGTTATAAAGGACTGAAAATGTGGGAGCACGATGTGAAAATTTGAAACAACTCAAGTTGAAAAATATCTTCTTCTTTTTTGAATTTTTAGAAAAGATGCCTTGTGAGAAATTACTCCAAAGTCCAAAGTTCGTGAAGGAAAATTGTTCTTTTTCTTCTTTCAATAAATGCTGTTGAAACATTACATGGACTTTAGAGTTTAGGCTTTAGACCAACTGGGTGCATTAGCTGCAGTATTGTCCTTTACATTAAGGCCAACATGGTAAAAACCATAAAGGATCATGAAGAGTTTAGACTTTTGATCCTCCTCACAACGAAACAAACACCATATAGTTATTGTTATTAAAAAAAGTTGCAATTAATGGATTGAGCATCTTGATTTTTTTTATTTAATTCATCTAAGTAATGTATTTGACAATGATAGGCTAAATGCATGATTGAAATATGACTTCTGTCACAAGTTAGAATTTAGTCAGTAGTGAAAAGAATAACAAAAATACTAAATTTGTATTTTATATTGTGAGAAGCATGTTGGGTGTTAGCTATTTTTGCATCAGTCACTTCATTTTAATTGGGTTTAGGACATTTTAGTTCTTAAACTATTCTTTTATGAACACCAGTTATCCTAAACTAATATTGATCCTCCTATTTTATTTAGACTATTAGGCACGTTTTGGTATGATAGAGTGAATTTCAAGGGAATGGGAGTCAGATTGAGATTGGTACGGGGATTGAGATTTAAAATTACATTCAAGCTATTGAATGTCGAATGTTGATTAATATGAGAAGTTATCCATTCTTATAAGGAAAAGAATACAAATTCAAATTCTGAAAAACACTTGTTGATACCGACAAACACTCTAGTCCTCGAAAAAGTTAATCAAATAAAAAAAATTATCGTCTGGTATATTTTGGGTTACTCATGGGATTGATGAACTAAAAGAAAAGAAAATAAAATTCAAAATATGAAAAACCTAAATTACCCATATCTCCTAAACTGCTACTCTCGAGTTATGGTTGCGGGCTCACTGTTTACAGAGTGATTGCAGCCAGCAACTACGCTGACCAAAGAAGACACATGTGCGATTGACGAAAGAGACCCTTTGCAACTCTCTCCCCCAATCCATGGCCTCCATCTTCGAAGCATCTCCCACAGTTTCTCTTTTCGATCTCTTCCTTCACCCACTCTTCAATTTATTCATGAGAGCAATGCACAGCGAGAGGGACGGGCTGAGGGGTAATTTGGTCTGAAAATGTTCAATCCCAGGACTGGTTTTCCAATGCCAAGACTGCTAAAGCACTCGTGCCAAACTTGACTAAATTAATTCAGGTAAAAAAAAAAAAAGAGACTAAGGGATGTCTAGCTAGAAATGAAACTATATTTCAAAAGTGATTTAACGGTATACGAAACGGTATACGAAATAAATTGTAGAGAAATTTGTCTCGATTTGTAAAAAAGTACTTTTAAAAAGTATTTTTACAGCTTCCAAACCCCCCTAAATTAACAACGTCAATGCCAAGTTACCAGTAGTCCAATACCAATCCTTCTGCCTCATACCAAACAGGTCTTAGCTTCCCAGAAAAATTATGAAAAAAAATCCCTCAAAAAATTATAAATAAATACCCACATAAAAATTAATACTAATAAAGTTTCAAAAAATTATAGATAAATAAATAAACTAATTTTTTACTTATATAAAAGACATAAACACTATTTTAACTCATCACTCTGACTGACTACTGGGTGACTATACAATTATCATTGTTCCCGACAACAATAGCAAGAATTAATAATAATAATAATAATTACGTGAGTAAATATGAGGTTTCAAGATTCTAGGAAGGGAATATAAATAGTTAAATATTAAAAAATTTTAATGACAAATGAACAATTTGAACTGCTGTCATTATTTATTATATTAAAACTTGTCATTACAAGATATTTAGATAGTGTTTGGTTTGTCAAAAAGTACTTAACAAATGTGATTTCACATAAATTGAAATAAAATTCTCATTATATATTTACTTTGTATATTTTAAGATTACTTTAAAAAAAAACACGTATATTTTTTAGTCATAGTGTATTTCTTTTTGACAGTACTTTTAATAATTCTCCCAATTAAAATTTATATTTTCTTCTACAGTCAAATACTCTTACCTAAAAACATCTTTAAAAGTGGGTAACATGTTGAGGAAAAAATCAGCTCGCTGTCGGAAATTAATTTAGCGACCATTCATTTGTTAGCCAAATAGTACTTATCCGAAGACTTTGATTTTTCAAAAGGTGCAATACATTATGACTTTATGAGGATCATTTCTTTTTTAAAAAAAAAAATCTAATACAAATATTTGATGTCATAAAGACTGAAAATGTGGAGCATTCTAAAGTCAAATACTCTTGTTTAAAAGCATCTTTGAAAGTGTGGAACACGTTGAGGAAAAAATCAACTCGTTGTCGGAAAGTAATTTAGGACCATTCATTTGTACGACAAATGATAGTAGTACAAGATCCAACAACAGACTTTGATTTTTCAACTTTATGAGTATCAATTTTTTTAAAAAAAAATCTAATACAAATATATATATGAGCTGTAATTGGCAAAATGAGCTTGAAGATAACTAAAACCTATATATAGAAAATAGAATAAATTCAATACATTATTTGATGGAGGTTACCTTTGAACTTTTTTTAGTAAGAAATCAAATATTTGATGTCATAACTGAAAATACGGTTTGAAACCTCTCATCTTTCCTTCTCATCCTCTTTCCTTTTCTTTCTCTTTTAACCATTAGATTAACATTTTATAGGTTCAGCTTTAAATCTTTTTAAAATTATTATTAAAATATTAAATAATAAATAATAAATTACAAGCTATATTAAAATTTAATTCTAATGGTTTGCAAGTGCACTAAATGTTTTTAAAAAATTTTTATAAATAGTTTACAAAAAACTAAAATCTAAACTATTGAAATATGTTAATCTAACATTAAAAAAAAAGAGGAGGGAAGAGGATGGGAAGGGAAGAGAAGAGGTTCCAAACCGACTGAAAATGTGGGTCACGATATGAAAATTTGAAACAACTCAAGTTGAAAAATATCTTCTCTTTTATTTTGAGAAAAGATGCCTTATGAGAAATTACTCCAAAGTTCTTGAAAGAAACTTGTTCTTTTTCTGTTTTTAATAAATGTTGTTGAAACAATATATGGACTTTAGACTTAAGAACTGGTTATACAAGCTGCAGTATTGTCTTTTAAATTAAGGCCAACATGGTAAAGACCCTAAAGGATCATATAGTTGGGGCCTGTAGCCCAAGTACGGTACTGGTTCGATACTCATCATAACCAAATGAACACCATCCGTTTATCGTTATGAGAAAATTTGGACAATTTAAAATCTAATTTAAATGATGTAAATTTAAAATTTTTAATTAGATATTTTTCAAGGAAAAATTTCATTTAAGGACCACTGTAGCCAATTAATATCAGTCAACCCCCAAAATATTTGAAAACTTCAGTCAACCCTCTTGGACCAAAATGAAATTAAAATTTAAGGATAAAATTATAATACTACCCCCTTTTTTTAAAAAAAATAAATAAATATTAACTCTAGCCAGAGCTCTAGCTGCTGGTGCTCAGGTGACCGATGCTATAGGTCAGAGCTTCAGTGACCGGCTACTAGACTTCGATGGTTGGAGGATTTCTTTAAAAAAATTAAGTGGCCGGGGGGGTTTGAACCCATGAACCCTTGGCACACCAAAATTAATGTGACCACCAAGCCAACTAAACAATTTAATTATATGATACAAAGAAAAATATATGTAACAAAACAAATACAAGTGTCGAAGTGTAAGCAAAAAAGTGAAATTTAGCAATTCATAACAAAAATTCGGCGATTTACAAGTAAAATAATAGAATTCACAACCCCAAATACAAGTATTTATGTGTGAATAAGCAAGTGAGATTCAAAGATTTACAATAAAAATTCATGAATTTATAACCCAAATTCAGTGATTCATAATAAACATAAGAGAATTCGTGTAAATGTTTGTGAATGAATAAGTAAAATTCAGAAATTTGCAAATTCCGTGATTTACAACTCAAATTTAGAGATTCACAAGAAACATAAATATTACCAAACTTATAAGAGAATTCACAATCTCAAAAGTTTTGCTAATTAAGGCACGGGAGCTTATGTTCAGGAAGACTTTATTTGTGTTGTGAATTTCATTATGCTCCTTAGATGCATTGTGCATTAATTTAAATTGTGCTTCAAATATCTAGATTTATTTCTTTTTAACTTGTGAATTTATTTATTATGATCTGTTAAATATATAGAAGTTATGAGTTAATTATCAAAGGCTTCGACATACACATGTGTGTGCGTGGGGAGCTAGAAGAAATGAAGACTGTATGTGGAGAATTGTATTATTAACAATATGTTGTCCACGTAACATTTATTTATATTACCAACCATATTTTAATATCTTATTTGTTGTGAAAAATTATAATATAATTACATTACAATGTATATGATGAACACAAAATGGGTAAAAAGCTAACTTGAGATCATTAGCATTATAAAGAAACAGAAATTAAATATAGGCAATATGTAATTAATTCTAATACAACGTTACATTTTTTTTTTATTCGACCAAGCCTCAATTAGCAAAAATAAAAAAATGCTGGTCTTTACTTAATGTGGCCGAAAGTAGTGAAGCCTCCCTGAATAGAAGCTCCGGTGCCATAATTAGCAAAACTTTTGAAGTTGTGAATTCTCTTATAAGTTTTGTAATGTTTATGTTTCTTATGAATATCTGAATTTGGGTTGTAAATCGCTGAATTTTTGTTATAAATTACTAAATTTCACTTGTTCATTCACATTCAAACACTTATATTTAGAGTTGTAAATTCTCTTATGTTTCTTGTAAATCGTCGAATTTGGAATATAAATCCATGAATTTTTGTTGTAAATATTCAAATTTCACTTGTTCATTTACACATAAACACTTGCATTTGGGGTTGTGAATTCCATTATATTACATGTAAATCATTGAATTTTTATTGTGAATTGCTAAATTGTACTTGTAAATTGTCAAATTTCACATGTTTATTTACACTTGAACACTTGGATTTGTTTTGTTACATATATCTTTCTTTGCATTATATGACTAAATGGCTTGGTAGTCACATTACTTTTGGTATGCTAAGGAGTCATGGATTCAAACCCCTGGCCAAGAAACATGACGGAAGAAGAAATTAAATTTACAAAAAAGAAAAGCAACTTGGCGGAAGAAGAAAGCAAAAGAAGCCCAAAACACAACAAAAGAAAAATGAGAGCTTCCTTTTAAGAAAAAGACCAACATCATATTGAGAGCTTGCAAAGGTTCAGCGATCAATGATCCTCTCTCCCAGTATTCCAACCTCCTTCGTCTTACTTCTTATTCAAGTCAAAACACAAACACCCATCATCCGCCACAGCCACACATTGCATGAGCCAACAATATAACCTGCAAAATTTTATTTATTTTTTCAAATTTAATTTTACACATATCATAGTGTATGTATGATATATAAGAACGGGGTACATCAAGTTAAAATTCAAAAATTAAATTACAACAGAAAGTTATAGGAATTGAGTTGTAATAAATTAAAGTTTAAAGATTAATTTTTTTCAAATTTGATGCAAATATCACAATATATGACATATAAAGATTGAGCTACATTGAGTCAAAATTTGAAAATTAAATTACAATCGAATCAAAATTATAGGGACTAAATTGCACTATAGTAAAATTTAGAGATTGTAAGCAATTATAATTGAGTCAAAACTATTAGGACAAATAGATTAAATTTCTTCAAAAAAATTACTTTTTTTAAAGAATCTTTCATTCATATATTCTTTCCTTCCTATTCAAACGAAACTTAAATGTCATTAATCTATCATAGGAAAAATTTAAATTTAAATAAAAAGCAAGACAACGTAGCACATGATATGGAAATAAAAGAAGTATATCCCAAGACCAATTAATTAATTAACATGACTCTTGGAAATGGAAGTACATGAATGCTAAATTGTAGATTAAGAGCCCCACTATGCGCTGTAAGAAGAGCTGCAATTTGAATTTGAAAACAGAGTGAGTAGTAAACATTATTGAAACACATAAAAGAGCTCTGCTTTCCCCCTTATTGAACAGCAACACTTAAACGATCGCTAAACATAGAAGGAGCGCAAGGATTTTAAAACGGATGAAACTAGCCTAAAATGGTAAAATCAACATGATATCCTTTTTTTTTTTTTCAAAGGTGTCGAAGGCTTACCTTTAGCTTTCAATAGATTCCAGAACATCAGGATCTGGCACATCCATGAATCCTTCAAGCATGAGTACAACTTGCTTCATGGTGGGTCTCAGTAATGGATCCTCTAGAGTGCACCAAATACTGATCAGCACATACTTCTCCACCCTCTTCATGTCAGTAAGCAATTCCTCATCATCTTCCACTAACAAGTCAAATCTACCAGAGTGAAAGCAATCCCATGCCCAATCTATCAGTACCATCTTATTCTCATCTTCAACATTCCTATCAAAGTTCTTTCTGCAACAAATGATCTCTAATAACAAAACTCCAAAGCTATAAACATCCACTTTTGTAGTAATTGGCTTGTGTTTGAACCACTCAGATGCCACATACCCTCTAGTTCCCCTAATTGCTGTTGTAGTTACAGTTTGGTCAATCTTCAATAGCTTTGCCAGACCAAAGTCTGAAATTTTAGCTGTACAAGAGTCATCAATCAAGACATTTTGAGGTTTGATGTCACAATGGATAATTTGAGAGGTGCATTCTTCATGCAGGTACAGGAGTCCTTTAGCTGTACCTATTGCAATTTGCATCCTTTGATGCCAGGTTGGTCTTTTGCCTTCAAAAAGAAAGTTTGCTAAAGTCCCTTTACTCATGAACTCATACACAAGTAGCCTATGCTCTCCTTCATTACAGAATCCCAAAAGTTTCACCAGATTCCTATGGTGTGTTTGACCAATTGCACTCACTTCTGCTTCAAATTCCTTCTCACTTCCATCCACCATTTTTAATTTTTTAACTGCAACAAAGTTCTTTTGAAGATTTGGCATAACACCTTTGTAGACAACAGAAAATCCACCATGACCCAATTCTTCTGAGAATCCATTTGTGCCTTCTAGTAACTCTTCATAAGTGAAACTTATAAGGCTCATGTTTGACACAAATCGACCTGGTTTGGGAACCCTTTGATCAGTATGGCGAAACCAATATAAAACCCCACAAACTGCCACCACCAAGAGCAAGATCAAGAACACTGAACTGCCTAAAAGTATCAAGCCAATAACAAATAACTTTGATTTGCCATTCTTTGGATTAATATCTCCACGAACCAGAGTAGAGGAATTACCTTTTCTTATTTTGACTAGAGCTTTCCCTGGGAATGATGAATCAAACCTTCCATTAAAGAGAGGTAGGTTCTTCTTGGAACATGCCCCATCGTTGAAAGAAGCAGCCACACAAAGGCAATCCTCTAAACAAGCTTGTCTACACCAATCTTCATTTACTGGTTTGAAGTATTCGTAGTCACAATTTGGCCAATCGATATGAGGCATCTCAATGAAATCAAAAAGGTGTGCTTCGGAAGAAGGTTCATCACAACTTTGTAGAACAAAGCTTTGTTTGCATCCTTTCATCACATCATTTGGATCAATGATGCTATAACCGACTGGACAGTGGCAACTTTTGTTCTTACCATCAAAGTTACAGTAGCTGTTGAATCCACAAGCTCCACCTCCTGTTTGTCCATTAATTCTCATACAAATATTTGAAGGTGTCACAGATTGAATTGACCAGGCCATAGGCAGATTTCTTGTACTGGAGTTACTACCCTTGGGATATGTATAGTGCCGAAAGACTCCATCATATTCAAGAACAGCTCTCTGGTAAAGATTTTGCGCAGAGATGTCCTTCAGAGATGATATTGTTTGGATTATACTTTGATTACTTCTTTGAACAAATAGAAGACCAGCTTGGTTAAAGACCACTGAGAAGTCACTGCCAAAAACCTGGGTACTCCAATAAGCAGAATTTACAGAATCAGCTGGGAAATCAGTTGTGTAAAGCACAAAATTCCCATCATCTTGTAGTGCAAACATAAATCTCCCCTTTGAATAATTATTCGGTGAAAAGTGTGAAACAAGTTGAGCAGGTTGATGCAAAACCTGTCCTGGTAAAATTGTGTCAGTAGGATGATCAAAAGTTTGCCACCAATTTTGAGATCCTTGACCAACCAACACAAAGTTACCAGTATCAAGCATAGCAGCATAAGAAACTCCAAATCCTATAGGGGTAGCACTCCAAATTTGCTTACCAGTGGGATCAACGAGTTGGAAAGAACCATCTGAAGTGAGCTCAACTTTGGAACCCTTTGGAGCAAGATTTTGTCCCTTGGCTGACCAGACAACAGTTTTTTCTGGTATTTTGTTGAACCAGATGGCTAGTAGGAACCCATCTTTCTCAATTTTCTGGAAACCAAATGCAAAATCACCAGATGGTGAAGGCCAGAAGGAGCCATTTTCAACTGCAGTCAGTGAACTGCCCAGGGATATGTTCTTGGAAGCTTGAGAGACTACAGAATGCGAAAGCAAAGCAAGTAAGAGAGATAGCAAAATTGGGTATGGCTTTTCAAAAGCCATTTGATGAAACTTGAGTAAGAAATAGTGTTTCTTCTTAATATAGGCACCAGTCAGCTTTGATGCAGAGTGAAGCAGATAAATAAGGCCATGGAGAAGAACCTCCCAGGTAAAAGTCCAAGTGAAGAAAAGTTTGTATTTCCTCACAACCGCATATTAATTATCTAAATCGCTTTTAGACTTGGGAGGAAAAAAATCTTATCGTTCGATGACTAGAAAAGTTCGTGCTTCACTCGTTTTTCAAGTACTACTGTTGAAAAGGAGGCTAGCTGAGTCTTTCAAGATCTTAATTGTTGGTTTGTTAAGTAAATTGTACAGGATATCCATAGCTTCCATTCAAATGGGAGCTAGTGTTTATCAGTTAAACATCGGGGTCCCTCTTCTTTCCTAGTGCACATGAATCTTTTGTTTGAATAAATCTGGTTCTAGTCACTGTCAGAACCTCGGCGTTTTTATAAGATGCAATACATTAGGAGCATCATAAATTTCTTTATTTAATTAAATAAGATGTGAGCTTTAGTTAGCTTATACACTAAATGCATTTGAATGTATTTAAAGCTGTTAAAATGATTTTGGCCAAAAAAAAAAGCTGTTAAAATTATTAAAGCATAGACTCTGTAATTGGGTGTGAATTTTCTTTTTTTACTGACATAGATATCCTTTTATTAGACCTGCCAAGCATTGTCAGATGTTATCTCATATATGTGGACACTTGTTTTAATAAAAATTCAAATTTTAGTTTGTAATGTCATGAAGGATTGGTTCCTTTTATTAGACTAAATCCGACTAGTAACGTGAATTTAATTCAAAAAAACATACTTAATTTCTTATGAGAGAATTTCCAAAAAAATATACTTTTAAATTTTAAAATTATAAATCAGTCTTGTTCATTGCACTTTAATAATAATTAGTAACATTTAAAAAGAAAATGACAACACGTTTTCATAATCCTTCTTGATTTAAAATTTTAAAATTTTAGAGGTTTTTTTTTTTCGAAATTTTCTCATTTCTTATTATTGAAAGAATAAATGGAGATCTTTATTGGCCAATCAAGCGTAAGGTTTAAAAAAAAAAAAAAACACTTAGTGAGTTACAGTACGTGCTTTCGTCGTTTTCGATCCGGTCCTTCCCCAGTTCCCCCATTAGTAAAAGGAACTGTTCTGATTGCTTACTTTTCAAAGGATTCCAATTATTCTTTATGAGTATCATAATCTTTTTGTTTTATTAAATCAAATGAGATTATTTATATATTGACCACTTACTTTGTTAGGTAAACAAAGACGTCAAGGAAGAAAGAAAACACGTTTTTATTATCCATAGGACAACAAGAAGATGGTACCAATTGGTAAGTTCGTCTCTGCTTCTGGTCCAAATGAGTAATGACCAATCAATATTCCCTCCATTGTGAAATCAAAAAATGGAGGTCATTCTCTATTTTCTTGATTTATTCAATATTATTCTCCTATTAAAACAAATAAATTTATAAAATGTTATCATAACTTTACTTTGAAGGTTCAAATTTAAGACTAACACTTTCTCCTCATTTTTGAGATGCATACTCAATGTGGAAATTTAAATATTACTGCATAATTTGACTTTGAATGGGACCCCATGAATTCCCTCCTGCCCCTTGAAATTGGGAAAATTGCCCCCTCCTCAACGCAAAACAATGGAAATTGTTCACATTAATGGGCTAATGACAGGACTTGGCAAACACTGGACCATGAGACAGTCACCATTTTATTATGTGGGCCAACACCCATGCATATATCACATCACAAGTTATTTGTAAGAAAATTTTTTATCATAAATATAAATCATGAGTATTTAATAATCAGTTTTTAATTTTATCCATATTTAATTGTACTTGGAAAGAGAAAAAATAATAATAATAATAAGAATGATTCGTAAATGCACGGAGAGAAAACTTTCACAAAGATAAATTTAAAATTTTTTATCAATTTAATGTATTCTTTAACATGTAAGAATAAGTTACAACTGACTTATAATAAGAATCAAAGTAATACGTGTGTATCTTACACGGAATCTTTCCATTACGCAACCTCTCCATTTAGCCTCCATTTAGATAAAACGGTATCATTTGTCTGTTTAAATAAAACGCTATGTTCTCCAACTAGGCACTTAAGCAGTAATGAAACACCAATGATTTTAGCACATGTTCTGTGAAGGGGAAGAGCACTAATAAATTAATCATACAGAACATAATAAACAGTGAGGTGAAAATTGCTTTCACGTTCTGTGTAATAAATTCAAAGACATGACAAAAATTTAGCACATAATCATTCTCTTAGATGGCCAGGAGTAGTTCTACTCCCTACTATTTAGCAGCTTTTGTGTCAGCCATATAGCGAGCACTAAAAGATACAGCCTCCTGTGGCAATAAGATATCACCTCTTTGATCACCAGCCAAAGGTAACTATGCAGGCATTACTATGGTTGCAAGAAACATCAAAGACAGTTCAATTTGTGAAACGCCCAACCATTTTGAAAAATAAAACTCTAATTTGGAATACTGTAGATAAAGCAACAGACATAGAGGGGAGTAATTTGTGAAGGAAAGGAGGGCATTAAAGCATTTTAAAGGGTGAGAAATAAAATAAGAGGGTACCTCTGGGCGATGGTGGGTGAAGGTGAACAGGACCATGGGTGAACACTTAGAAGAGCATCATGGATGAAAAGAATCAGGAATTATCACTAACAACAATGAGATGTGTGAAAGAAGAGAAGTCGACCACGGAAGAATAAAAAGCTCATGAAACTGAAACGATAAACGCTCAGTTGGAGTGGAAAAAGCTGTACAAGTTTTTCAAAAAAAATCGTAAAACGACACTGTTTTATTTAAATGGAGGCTAAATGGAGAGGTTGTGTATGGAAAGGTTCCATGCTGATAGGCGTTATAAGGACCTAATAATAACTTTACATAAATTAAAGAACTTAGCTAAAATTAATTACTACCTGTGGTCAAAAATATAAGAGTTGGTTTGTAATGTAACTTATGTTACAAACTAACTCTTATATTTAGAACTAAAAATAGTATTTCTTATTTGAAATCGTTTGCAACCACTCACCTTGAAGATCATTCAATTCGGACTTGGAAGAAGAATTGATTCTAGGTGGTTTTCAAAGGGATCATTTATTTGCTTGTTCTTCACAAACTAGTTTTGTGCAAGGCACCAACTAGGAATGGACTTGACATATCAAACGTGAATTAGTAATATGACAAATTTAAATTTAAATTAGAAAGCAGGACAACCGCCTATAGTGTTAGAGCTAGGAAATGGCCTAATGGACAAAATATAAATTTTTTAAAGTAAAAATCACAAATACAAGATTAAATTTTGCTGAATGCTCGTCTCCTTCATTCAAAAATATATATACGCATATATATATTTGATCCTTCAAATTAGGCCCTTCAAAAGTATGTTGGCAGCTTGATATAATTAGGGAGAAAGATACGATCACATAAATAAGTAAAAGACAAAACAGTCTCACAACATAGTTTAATTTTTATGAAGTTCTGAGATTACCCTGTTTAGGAAATGATCTAACAATCTTTGTGTGAAAAAAATCTATCTGTTGCAGATCGTCACAACCCCAGCTGCCACTACTAGTAATGTGGAAGAACAAGTTTGATTATATGTAGTCACAACAAAATCTTAAAATGAACGAGAACCACAAAATAAACTTGGATTCTTATAAGATACACTAAACAATACTACATCTGGTCCTAAATGTAAAATCTAGTTTGAAGTGTAACTGCAAAATAGATCTTATATTTAGGATCAGGCTAGTGTATGATATTTATTTGGTGGAAGGCTTATCATTCACTTGTAAAGGATGGCAGGTCAGGAGGATTTGATACATCCATGAATCCTTCAAGCATTTGCACAACTTGCTTCATGGTGGGTCTTGTAGATGGATTCTCTTGAATACACCATATGCTGATCTTCACATACTCTTCTACCCTCTTCATGTCAATTTGAGCTTCCTCATCATCTTCCACTAATGGGTCCAATCTCCTATAGTGAAAGCAATCATATGCCCAATCTATTAGTACCATCTTATACTCGTCTTCAACATTCATATCAAAGTTCTTTCTGCAACAAACGAGCTCCAATAACAAAACTCCGAAGCTGTAAACATCCACCTTCAAGGTAATTGGCTGGTTTTTGAACCACTCTGCTGCAACATACCCCTTAGTTCCTCTTATTGCTGTAGTAGTTACAGATTGGTCAATCTTCAATAGCTTTGCTATCCCAAAATCTGAAATTTTAGCTGTGTAAAAGTCATCCAGCAGGACATTTTGAGGTTTGATATCACAGTGAATGATCCGGGTATTGCACTCTTCATGTAAGTACAGAAGTCCTTTAGCTATTCCTATTGCAATTTGCATTCTTTGATGCCAAGTTGGCCTTTGATCTTCAAAAAGGAAATTAGCTAAAGTTCCTCTGCTCATAAATTCATAGACAAGTAGCCTGTGCTCTCCTTCATTGCAGAATCCCAGCAGTTGCACCAGATTCCTGTGATGAGTTCGACCAATGGCGCTTACTTCTACTTCAAATTCCTTATCGCTTCCATTGAACATATGTAGTTTTTTCACAGCAATGAGATTCCCTGGTATGTCAGGTAGAAATCCTTTGTAGACAATGGAAAATGCACCACGGCCAAGTTCTTCTGTGAACCCATGTGTTGCTTCCTTCAATTCCTTGTAGCTGAAACTTCTGAGATTCATATTTGATATGAATTGGACATTTTTATTAACTTTGGAATTATTTTGGCCAAATCGATATGCAACCAAACAAGCTGCTATTAGTAACAAGAAGTTCAAGAAAACTGAACCGCTTAAAAGTGTAGAACCTATTATAATCAATGTTGATTGATCAGTCTTTTGATCAATATCATCAGGACTTAAAGGAGAATAATCCTTTCTTATTTTGATCAAAGCTTTCCCTCCAATAGAATTATGCTTTCTTCCATTAGAGAGAGGTTTCTTCTTCTTCCAGCATTCTCCATCTCTGAAGGTAATAGCGGAACAAA